AATACACACATTAATATAAATTAATCTTTAATATATAAAAATCAACTATCTTTGGTCTAGAGGTATTTGAACTATGATATAATAATAATATGTACATGTTACTATAATAAATTATAATCAGCATTTTACTAAAATATAATTAATAACCCTACACAGGGTACAACTCTTGACACTACTGTCACTATATATATATATCTCTATGCTAAAACAATAAATTATAAATAACATTTTTATAATAATAAATTACAATCAACTGCCTCTCACGACACGAAGTCAGTCACACGACACTGTTCAGTGTACACTACAACCAGGCCATCTTCAGTGTCCACGACACCCTTTTTATCTCAGTGTTCCACTACGGTCCTGTGCATATCTCAGTGTTCCACTCCATCGTACGTCCCTCAGTGTCACACTGCGGTCCTGGCCCAGTTCAGTGTAACACTCCAACCTTTTCTTCATGTAATGTCCCACTAACAGCATCTGACGACTCCGGCCCACAGTTGATCAACGTAGACGGTGAGTCCACAGACATCACCGGTAGTCCAGTAAATCCTCTCCAAAGGCTGTTGACACACCGCTAGCCGAACACCATGCTGCAAGCTCACTGAATGCGGCCGTCAAGTAACTGAGGCCAACAGACTCAGTGAGCTGCGGTGAGGCGGTTCTTCTAACGCCAGTAGATAGGTACGATTCGGTGGTCAGGTACCTACTGCATAGACGTGTACCCTGAGGAGTTCAGGTACTTAATGTTGAAGCCAGTAGACGTGTACCCTTCGGTGGTCAGGTACCTACTGCTTAGGTGTGTACAGCGAGGCGCTCTGGTACATTACTGTTACTAAAGCCAGTAGACGTGTACCCTTCGGTGGTCAGGTACCTACTGCTTAGGTGTGTACAGCGAGGCGCTCTGGTACATACTGTTACTAAAGCCAGTAGACGTGTACCCTTCGGTGGTCAGGTACCTACTGCTTAGGTGTGTACCGTGAGGCACTCAGGCTCTTACTGCTCTAAAGGCCGGCTCAGCAGCCCCCACATTGGGTTTGATGACGCACCCAGTGGTACTGCCGGCCGGCAGGTTAACTATTTAACCGCTAGTTTGGCAGGGGCCGCAACACCCCCACCACAAAAGGACCGACACACAAAGATCAATGTTAATATGTATCAAGAACCGTCATCCCGGATATGATCGTCCAGAAATCATTCTAGATAATCATTATCCTCCCGGACAGGCCACTCATATATTACAAAAAAGTAATTTTTTAAAGAAGATGGTAAGATTTACTTCTTTTGTAATAAAGAGTTCGGGATACATAAATACACACATTAATATAAATTAATCTTTAATATATAAAAATCAACTATCTTTGGTCTAGAGGTATTTGAACTATGATATAATAATAATATGTACATGTTACTATAATAAATTATAATTAGCAATTTACTAAAATATAATTAATAACCCTACACAGGGTACAACTCTTGACACTACTGTCACTATATATATATATCTCTATGCTAAAACAATAATTTAAATAACATTTTTATAATAATAATTACAATCAACTGCCTCTCACGACACGAAGTCAGTCACACGACACTGTTCAGTGTACACTACAACCAGGCCATCTTCAGTGTCCCACGACACCCTTTTCATCTCAGTGTTCCACTACGGTCCTGTGCATATCTCAGTGTTCCACTCCATCGTACGTCCCTCAGTGTCACACTGCGGTCCTGGCCCAGTTCATGTAACACTCCAACCTTTTCTTCATGTAATGTCCCACTAAACAGCATCTGACGACTCCGGCCCACAGTTGATCAACGTAGACGGTGAGTCCACAGACATCACCGGTAGTCCAGTAAATCCTCTCCAAAGGCGGTTGACAACACCGCTAGCCGAACACCATGCTGCAAGCTCACTGAATGCCGGCCGTCAAGTAATGAGGCCAACAGACTCCCGTGAGCTGCGGTGAGCGGTTCTTCTAACGCCAGTAGATAGGTACGATTCGGTGGTCAGGTACCTACTGCATAGACGTGTACCCTGAGGAGTTCAGGTACTTAATATTGAAGCCAGTAGACGTGTACCCTTCGGTGGTCAGGTACCTACTGCTTAGGTGTGTACAGCGAGGCGCTCTGGTACATACTGTTACTAAAGCCAGTAGACGTGTACCCTTCGGTGGTCAGGTACCTACTGCTTAGGTGGTAACAGCGAGGCGCTCTGGTACATACTGTTACTAAAGCCAGTAGACGTGTACCCTTCGGTGGTCAGGTACCTACTGCTTAGGTGTGTACCGTGAGGCACTCAGGCTCTTACTGCTCTAAGGCCGGCTCAGCAGCCCCCACATTGGGTTTGATGACGCACCCAGTGGTACTGCCGGCCGGCAGGTTAACTATTTAACCGCTAGTTTGGCAGGGGCCGCAACACCCCACCATGTAGTATGTAGAAAGAAATTATTATAATATTATGTAATGTCACCATGGTTGTTTAATATATTTATAGATGGGGTTGTAAAAGAAGTAAATGCTAGGGTGTTTGGGAGAGGTGTGGGATTAAATTATGGGGAATCAAATACAAAATGGAAAGTGATGCAGTTACTTTTTGCTGATGATACTGTGCTTATGGGAGATTCTAAAGAAAAATTGGAAAGGTTAGTGGACGAATTTGGGAGTGTGTGTAAAGGTAGAAAGTTGAAAGTGAACATAGAAAAGAGTAAGGTGATGAGGGTATCAAATGATTTAGATAAAGAAAAATTGGATATCAAATTCGGGAGGAGGAGTATGGAAGAAGTGAATGCTTTCAGATATTTGGGAGTTGACATGTCAGCGGATGGATTTATGAAGGATGAGGTTAATCATGGAATTGATGAAGGAAAAAAGGTGAGTGGTGCGTTGAGGTGTATGTGGAGACAAAAAATGTTATCTATGGACGCAAATAAGGGAATGTATGAAAGTATAGTAGTACCAACACACTTATATGGGTGTGAAGCTTGGGTTGTAAATGCTGCAGCGAGGAGGTGGTTGGAGGCAGTGAAGATGTCCTGTCTAGGGCAATGTGTGGTGGAGGCAGTGGAGATGTCCTGTCTAAGGGCAATGTGTGGTGTCAATATTATGCAGAAAATTCAGAGTGTGGAAATTAGGAGAAGGTATGGAGCTAATAAAAGTGTTAGTCAGAGGGCTGAAGAGGGGTTGTTGAGGTTTGGTCATTTAGAGAGAATGGATCAAAGTAGAATGACATGGAGAGCGTATAAATCTGTAGGGGAGAGAAGGCGGGGTAGGGGTCATCCTCGAAAAGGTTGAAGGGAGGGGGTAAAGGAGGTTTTGTGGGCAAGGGGCTTGGACTTCCAGCAAGCATGTTAGATGAGAGTGAATGGAGACAAATGGTATTTGGGACCTGAAGAGCTGTTGGAGTGTGAGGAGGGTAATATTTAGTGAAGGGATTCAGGGAAACCGGTTATTTTATATAGCCGGACTTGAGTCCTGGAAATGGTAAGTACAATGCCTGCACTTTAAAGGAGGGGTTTGGGATATTGGCAGTTTGGAGGGATGTGTTGTGTATCTTTATACGTATATGCTTCTAAACTGTTGTATTCTTAGCACCTCTGCAAAAACAGTGAATATGTGTGAGTGAGGTGAACGTGTTGAATGATGAAAGTATTTTCTTTTTGGGGATTTTCTTTCTCGTTGGGTCACCCTACCTCGGTTTGAGATGGCCAACTTGTTTAAAAAAAAAAAAGTATTACAACAAATATGAAAAATATCACAGTGAAAAATTAACAATAAAACACTGGGATGATTTTGTATGTTTACGCACACATCTTCAGAGGAAATGTTTTATGTAAGTACTGCAACAGTAACCTTCTTAGTGAAAAGCACGCAGGAGAACCCCACTTACATGGCGGGTTAGGTTCCAGGCTACTGCGGCAAAGTGAAGTGCCATAAAGCAGGGCCCTCCTGTACATTCCAAAGAAAAATGACAGTAAAGGAAATTTATATGTACTCTACTTCTCTCATTGTCCCATAAAGTTTCCATTTTATGGACTTGACAGCCTTGCTAAATGAAATTCTCCTAAGAAAACAGTTCATATTTAATTATTATTAATGAATTAAAGATTACAAATGTAACACTAAAGAAGGTTTGTACATCATTCTTTTAGTGCATTGCTGCTTGATATAAAAATCCTCTTCTTGCTTTGCCTCACCATGCATTGCACAAGGGATCCTGATGAAATTTTCCAACTGTGAAATCCACCATTACACTCATGGTGCTGACATATATAATTTACCTAAACTTGATTAACTGAAATTAGAAAAAATGTATTTACACACAGCACTTTACTAATTAGATGGATTGAAGCTCAGTAACATTGTGGTCACACGTACCTGTACTGTACAGGTTTACTTTTTCACATTTTATAATTTTAAGCTTTATTCACAGGAACTGACTAATCCCATCTTTTTGGGAATGCATGAATTAGCCACACGTTCTATATACCACTACAGATACTCCCCTACTTACGAACAGGTTTGGTTTCGAGTGGTCATTCACAAGTCCAACATATGTACTTGTACAGGATTGTACAGTAGTGTACATATGAACATCGAGTAACCTAAAAGTGTACATAGTTTAAACATATACTTACATGAACACAGAAAAAATGCAAAAATACATTATGTCAACTTTTGTTTCCATTGTGATGGCCTGGCACTTCTTAGCACTATGACCTGCATCACCACTGCTTAACACTGGACATATTGGGGTATAATAATCACAAATAACACTGAATTTGTGGAGACAGCACAAGCACACATAAGAACAATGCCGCTAGAGTAACCTACTATGTATTGTTTACATCTCGGCACTTCTCGCAAATTGTTCATATCATTGAAAGTTCACAACACAAATGTTTATATGTATGGGAGTCTCTGTAGTGTAGTTAGAAAAGCTTAATGTGGATTAGTGATTCATAATAGTTTATAATATTTTCTATTTGTCATTCATTTACCAGGACAGAGCTCGTTTACTTTTGGCACGATATAGCCAGCGGTGGGTGAAAGCTGTAGCTCGGGGATCTTTGTCTATTGTCCTTGGACCTAATGAAGCCACCAGTCCTCCTCCATTACCTCCACGCCATTGTTCCACTAGACAATGTTTATGTCAATATATTGAAGATCATCTCCACTACAAACCTCAAGGTTTGTGCAAGCTGCTCTGCAACTTCTGTATCCTTCCTGATGTAAATTAACATCTGGGCACTGATGAATTCCTAACTGGGCTTTCCTGGAACTAAATATATTAACTTAGTAAAACCTCGTTAATCAAAATATTTTGAGGTATTTTAAGTTAATATTAACACTTAAACTGTCCAAACGTAGATCTACATTCACGTGCATATCACTCCGAACATAGATCTATGTTTTTTCCATAAGAAAGCATGTAAAATCGAACATAGATCTACGTTTGGAGCGCTATGCACGTGAACGTAGATCTACATTTGGACAGTTTAAGGGTTAATTCAGATGGAGATAAAATTATCGAGGCTTCTCTTTATCTGGGATGCTGGTGCTTTACCCTCATGACTTTTCATGTTCCCACACTTCCCTGTCTAATCTCAACTTGTCAGTTGAAAAATAATAATTTCTGTGGATTTTCGTAATTCCAAAGTTGCAATCAACTCAGCCCAGTACTTGACTAAATGAGAAACAGATACCTCAACCCTCATTTTTATATTGTACATTAATATTATGTATTTTTATACATATTTCATAAATCCATAGAATAAAAATCCTGTCCAACATTTTCCAGCTGTCCTATTGATTTTGTGTACATATGGTAATCATAATCCAGTACAATGTAAAGTTAATCACTGACAAATTGCTGTTCAATATTCAGTAATACTTTCTGTGGAGCCTATTGGCCCCTTTTGCATTTTTGTATATAGAGTAATTGGCTTTTTAATTAACTTGAATCATGTGCCTTGCAACTGTTCAAATGAACTTGAATATTATATAACATTTAATATTAAGTAAATGTACTCTACTGCAAATTTTGAAACAAAATTTAAATTTTCTAAGAAATTATGTTTTTCTTTTCCTAATCATTCTTCTTTCTTAATAAACTGTGTTTATCATCAAAATGAAATGTATACTGTGTATGCAGCTGATTGCTTTAAACTACAAGTTCAACAGCTTTAACATACAGTCCAAGAAGTGCATGAGAATTCTGCTTATGTCTAATTCATCACTGTAGACTTAAGGTGATGGGGGTTCTAGTATGAAGGTTCCATTGTTATTTAGTGTAATTTAACTTGTAAGGATGTGTTGATTGGGGCAACAAGCTGACAAATAAATATAAAGATGTGATGCAGAGGAAGCCTCTATTTTTGATGTTTTGCTCATGATTAAATTTGATCAGTTTTACAGAAAAACTCAAGCTACTCCTTAAATACATGTTCTGGCAAGTAGCTTGATAAACTTAAGTCCTGAGTGAAATGTTATGTTAAATAAAGGCTTTCTCTGCCTTGCATGTCTTTTTGCCCACAAGAAGATGATACATGGTCATGATCATATTCTGTTTTAAAATCTTAAAAGAAACATAAAAATCTAACTGAAATGCAAAAATATAGTACTGTACCACAGTGTTAAAACTGGCTTAAAGTTGTTAAGCAATATGCTAGTGTTTGTATATGAAGCACAGCACATCCAGTAACATATACAAAAAGATTACATTGAAATCATAAACAGTAAGATTCTATACTATGCTGTTCATAGTGTTGGGACAAATACTTGAGGTTACTGACAGATTTGGGGAAAGTGAGAGCTGTAAGTTGAAAACATTTTAACACATTGATAAAATTATTCTGAATTATAACATGATAAATTTGATTAATCTCATGAATTATGTATTAGTGGTGGAATACATGTAAATACAGTGACATATTTATTGTGAAGCATTTACAACATTCACCTGTATTTTGATAATACTAGTCTAAACAAAATTTTTTTACCATAATTACTTTGAATCATGTAGATTTTTTCAAGTGCACATTCCACAAATTCTTTTGCTCCAGTCTTTCTTTCTTAAAATCTATAAGACTGCAAGCTGTGCATCAGTTCCTTTCTAGAATAATTGATGTAGCTGATGTAGTATTAAATTTAGATACACAGTACAAAATTTTGCTAAAAAGTTAATTCTTTGATAGCTTGTATATTTTTGCTCTCAGTGTTTAATTCATTGAGCCCGACTTATAGTTCAAAGGTTTTCTCAGCTCACTTTTTTAAAATACCACAGCAGTGGATGTTATTTTCTATTTTTTCACCAGTTTACCTTTTAGTAATGAAATTCTTGAAAAATTCTAGACTGAATGGCCAAGTGTTTTGCACATTCCTTTACAATCCATTGTGCTGTGTAGGCTTGTCCTGTTGATGAAGTGAATGATGGTGAAAGTGTTTCTTTTTTGGGTCGCTCTACCCCAGTGGGAAGCGGCTGGTGTGTGTTAAAAAAAATAATAATTCTTGTGTTCTCAAGTTATTTTTTCATTAATAGTTACCATAGTATATTTTGCATTCCCTCGTATTTCATATCAAGTTCTTCTTTTTCTCTTATGGGTTGTATATACAGTTGAATTATGAGATTTTTGCCTATTGTTTTGGATTTATATCATAAAATTTTGATAATATTTGTGTTTGAGACTTTATTAATTGTATCTGGCAGTATTGCCACTTCTTTGCTTTCTTTCCTACTCTTTCTCTCTCTCTCCCTCTTCTCTTCTCCACACTGGGTAGCTTTTGCAAAATTTTACACATTTTTTATAATGAGCATAGTTTTCCAGTTTGTCTGTAATTCTTGCTTTTATTTCTTATGTTTTTAGCTCTAGTTTTGTGTACACAGTACTTCATCTATACTTGAATACTACATAAAAAATTTATAAATTTGTTTGACTATTTTCCAGTATTGTTTTAATCTGAATATGTATTATATATGCTCTCAAGTTTACTCCTCTGGGCTCATAAAAGTATAAGTACTGTCATGAGTGCTTGGAAATATTATTTTAGCTGTGGTCACCAAATTTGTAAAACATCACATATTTAGTGTTGCTTTTGTGAACCTGAACACATCACTTGATTTTCTGTGTCACTTATGATTTTACTTTCATGACTTATGAAATTGTAATAACACAATTGCGGGCACTGTACTTCCCTTCCAGGACTCAAGCCCGGCCTCCCGGTTTCCCTGAATCCCTTCATAAATTTATTTTGCTCACACTCCAACAAATAAGTATTAAAACCATTTGTCCCATTCACTCCTATAAAAACCGCTCAAGCTGCCTCTGAAGTCCAACCCCTGCACACAAAACCTCCTTTCCCCCCTCCCTCCAACCCTTCCTAGGCCCGACCCCCCTACCCGCCTTCCTTCACTACAGATGATACACTCTTGAAGTCTTCTGTTTCGCCCATTCTCTTTAATGTCCGAACCACCCAACAACCCTTCCTCAGCCCTTGGACAACATTTTGGTAATCCGCACCTCTCCAAACTTCCAAACTCAAATTTTCTCTGCATTATATTACACCACACTTTCCCCCAGACATGACATCCCCACTGCTCCCCCTTTTCCCCTCGCGCCATTTCATCCCCCAGCTTCAAACCCCCATATAAAGCTTTGGTAAACTATACTCTCATACATTCCCCTCTTTCCCTCCAGCAAGTTTTTGTTCCAAGCCCCTAAGTGCACCACTATCTTTTTCCCTCATAAATTCTTGATTCACCTCATCTTTCATAGCCCCACCGTGAACTCCACTCCCAATATCTGAATCGTTCACCTCCCCCATACTCTCTCCCCCCAATCTGATTTTTCATCTTTCATCCCTAATCTTTTTGTTACCTCAAACCCTTACTTTTTTCCTGATTCCCCTTTAATTTTCTTTTTTGCACACCCTACCAAATTCACCCAAAATCTCTGAAAATTTCTTCAAAATCTCCCAAGAGCCAGTGTCATCAAAAAAGAGCAGCTGTACAACTCCCTTTGGTGTGATTCTTTATTTTTTAAACCCCACGCCTCTTCCCAAGACCCTCGATTTACTTCCTTAAAACCCCCCTTTAAAATATATTAAAAACCCGGTGACATACAATCCTTTTTAAAGGCCCTACTTTTAGGGAAAAAATTTCCCCTTTCCTACAACTCAAACTTGAGCCTCACTTCCTCGAAAAAAACTTTCATGCTTCAAAACCTACCCTACCCCATACATTGCAACATCGCCACTTTGCCCCCCTTCCCCCCTGTCATACGCCTTTTAAATCCTAAATGCCACAAAAAAACCCCTTTTGCCTTATTAAAAAAATGTTCACTTTATTTTTTATGTAAAAACCCGGTCCCCACACCCCTACCTTCCCAAGCCTTTGTTTACTGCTATCCCATTCTCCGTCTTACTCTTAATTCTTTTAATTATAACTCTACCCTACATTTACAGGTAACCAACAGATTTTCCCCCTATAATTTTTGCACTCTTTTTATCCCCTTTGCCTTTTTACAAAGGAATATGCATGCCTCTGCCAACCCCAGGTACCTTACCCCCTTTTCCTACATTTTTTAAAAATTGCACCAACCATCCAAAATATATCCCCCCCGCTTTTAACATTTCATCTTTATCCACAATCCCCCGGCGCCTTACCCCCCCTTTTATTTTTCCCACTGCCTCAGAAACTTCCCCCACACCACAATGGGTCTTCCCCACCTCAAAATGTTATCCTCCTTGCCCCAACACGAAATCCAGTTCCTATCCCTCAAATTTAAAAAATTCCCAAAAATTTCCCTTCCCTCTTCCCAATCCTTAACTCTCCATTTTTAAAAACTCTCCTTCCCATTTTTAAATGCAAACCCTTTTTCCTAGGTTTTTTAAATTGTTAACCACTCCAAAACTTTTTTTTTTAAAAAAAATTTGTTTATAACATCTCACCCCCTCTCTCATTTGCTCTCTTTTTACATTGCTTCACCACTCTCTTAACCTCTCTCTTTTTCTCCATATACTTTTTCCCCCTTGCATCACTTCTACTTTGTAAAAACTTCTCATATGCTAACTTTTCTCCCTTACTACTCTCTTTACATCACATTCCCCAATCGCTCCTCTTCCCTCCTGCACCCACTTTCCTGTAACCACAAACTTTTTGCTGAACACTCTAACACTACATTTTTAAAACC